AGGAATTGTTAAAATGTTATATTTCTTAAAGGGAGTTTGGTAAGTGGGTGGGTGAAAAACTAATATATATATAATGGAGTAATAAACTGAACTTTATAGTGAATAATCAGCTTAATTGATCACAATTGAAGGTTCTATATTGCAGGAATTGGCACTTTCAGGTGTTTATTGAATGAAAATTGGCCTGCCATAATCTTACACTTCCACTTTTCACTATACCTAAGTGGCAGTGATTCCTATTACAGGCTGCAATACCTCTACACAAGAGAGAAGATCATATCCAACAAAGGTTTTATAAACTACTTCTGCGTCCAATCAACACTGATCTTAAGTCTGTGTTATAAATCCGGCCCCTGGTGTGTAGATTGGATGTTGTAGGACAATGAACTAGAATATATAATTGGAATCACTTCCACTGACCACTCGAGGGAAAGCTTGAACTGGCTCCTGATGTGAAGTGTCCTCTTAGCACACAATGCTGCTGAAACAAGAACCACGAGTGCCACTTAACTAACTCTTATGGGTTTAAACTTCACAGGATCCAGAGACATTGTGAGTCCACTTCTCATCAGATATCATTTAAAAGAGGTTTCTCTTCTCAGCATGCAGATTGTATTTCCTCTAACTTAATATAGTAATGGGCCTGACTGAAACGGTGGCACACATATTCTGACTCAGTTGAAAAAAATTAAAATATGTATGGAAAAAACAACAGCAAGAGGCCAATTAAAATATCAATTCTTCCAGCCTTTCTTGGTCTCTAATCATTAATTAGCATAAAAGATTATTCCTTTCTGACTTCGTCTCAGACTGCAGGTCACATTCAGTTTCTGCTCAATACACAGAGGAAGTGGATTCTCCTCATTCATTAATTCATGATTCATGCAGTGGAGATTTATTTGCCACGGCAACGGTCCTAAAAAAATGTTCTCACATCTGTTTGAAATTTGACAGACCTTCATCACAGCAAAGATTTCAGCTGCAACCAACAACATTAATAATGAGGTGCAACTTGTTGTAACTAAAAACACTGATAATGAGATGTATCTATGCGTATTATTGAAGAGGTGTAATTAGTAACATTACTAACGAGGTGTAACTGATAAGATTAACAATGAGATGTAACTCGTGTTATTAATAATGATTTGCAAATAGCAACATTAAACTTGCTGTACACGACTTTCAGAGATGGCAGAATCTCAGACCCACCAGACTCCATTGACAAAAACAGAAATTTTATCTTCCAGTTCGTAAACACATTTCATTAAAACTCGCCAAAAACCATCTTTGTTAGTCGTTCCAACAACTATAACCAACTCTAGTTAAAATAAACCCTTAACCCCAAACAGCTGCTATGGCTATAAGTCAAAGTCTGTATACTAACAGCAGTTGTTTGTTCCACTAACAGTAGTTGTTGTTTGTTCCACTAACAGTTGTTGTTTGTTCCACTAACTTTAGCTTAACCACAAACAGCCATAATATCACTATCACTCTCCACCAGACTCCA